TGAAAAATTTGAATAATCATAAGTAGGTATATTGAAAAAGTATAGTATCGCAAAACTCGCGAATGTCCTCAGCGCTTTTAAAATACTTTTTATCACATTCGTCCAATTTTTTAATCGGTAACTTACCGGTAGACCTACTTATAATTATATATATTTTTCACCAGGATTGCAAGCTGAATCCAAATCCGTTGAAATAGAAGAACATTTTAGAAACGGTAAAAAAGTTGGTCGGCAAATTATCCTCTGCCAGTAGAAAGAGGGTGTCATTAACACATGTCTGGCCGATATCACGTTTGGCCCACGTTTTGATCAGTAACTTACCGATATAACTACTTATAATTATATATATTACTCATCAGGATTGCGAGCTGAATTTGAATCTGTTGAATAAATGAAGATTATTTAAACTTTAAAAAAATTGGTCGGCAAATTTTCAGCGGCTAGTAGGTAGAGGGTGTCATTAACACGGGTTCCGCCAACGGAGAGAACCCCAAAAGTAAGCACAATAGGAACAATCGCGCGTCGCAGCCGGTCGAGGGCCAGCAGACCGGCGAGGCGCGGTGGGAAGATCCGGCGGTGCTATTCGAAGAAGCGCCCTCGGACCGTTTGGTGGCCGAACCAAGAAGCAGGAGTTTTCTGAAATTTCTTCGGCCATATAAGAGTCCCTTTATACCCAGAGTTAAGACAACTCGATTATCAGCTGACTGGCAGCCGGCCTTGGCTGGCCATGGAGGCCGAAACGAGTGCACCCAAACGAACGATATTGAGGGATAAGGATCAGGAATCCTGCGATGTCTGTCACACAAAAACAACAACATCAACAAATTGATCAATTAAAAAGAAAATGGGATTGGTTTGTGAATAATTTCTTAATCTATTTTCATTTTGGACCGATGGAAATAACAATTTACTCTTGATAAACCACAATTAGGTAATATTTTCATTATTCTTGTTCACATTCGAGGTACCGCCATCTTGGTGCACTCGTTTCGGCCTCCATGAGCGAGAACCAATCAGAATTGGATTTTTTTTAGGCCACTTTCAGCCCAACCCTGGCCCAACCAAAAGTGAGTTGTCTAAACTCTGGGTATAAAGGGACTCTAGGCCATGTAAGCGTCCAGCCCCGTTACCATAGAATAATAAATAGCTAATAAGCTAATAAATAAATAGTCAGCTAGTTATTATTCTATGCCGTTACAAACTAGAGGCTTCAAAGAGACTCATCGATTGCCCCGACCTAAACCGCTGGCCAATGAGAGGGCCAGGAAAGGCGTCGATGAACCTCTTTGAAGCCTATAGTTGGTAAGTGGGCTGGACGTTATACTGATGCGGTATGGATTTGCTTTTCACAAATTTTCGGATTTTTACCACCATCAGTGGCTGCTCACAAAGTTCATTATACGTTAAAAACGGTAAAATTTCGATTTTAAGAGCAGCCGAGCGGAGGGATTTGGCATTGCCAAGCGAAGTGAGAGTGACTTGGGAGAAAAACAAAAATGTTCTCTTAATGTGCAAAGTATGTGCTCGGTTTGTACACATTTTTGAACATCTAGCGTCCAGTCCCTATCACTCACTAAAATATCAAAAATAGACGGTTAAAATGCTCAAACAATCGGAAAAATCACGATCTTTTGGCTGTGTGCGCGTCGGGTAAATTTTCTTCTTCTTCAAACTCCTTTTGGCTACCGTGGTTTTTTCACATAGAACCATTTAGGACCGTGCAACATTTTTTTTGGTCGATTGAAAAAAATAAGTCCCACCCTAGACACGCTTACACTTTTCAGCATTCACATCAAAGTGCCTCGCTGGTGATTCCGTGCTGAGGAATAACGCCGTATAATCATTCGAGTGATGCCAAATTTCCTCCAAAAGTTTTGAACTATAGTAGGGCCCACGAAGGATGATCCCTGAGCCGCGGGTATTTCTTGCAAACACTGGCAGCAGTGAAACACCCCCGTCCTGACCGAGACTGGAGCTCGCGCGACAATGCCCGGCCGAGCCACAATTAATAGAATCCTAATTACTTACGCGTAATTACCAATATCACCGTCCTACTAGAATGATCCAAAAATTTTTGAAAATTGTTAAATAAGTATTCAGGAAGAGTTTCCTCACTCTCTGTTAAAGCACGAGTAAAAAAAGGCCTTATTTATAAAAATCTGTCAAATGGCAAAGAAGTTACAGTTCGAGATACTACATGAGATAAATAAAAATTGAACTTCGCTATAAAAAGGAGAAAAAAGGAAAAAATAAAAAGTGTAAATTACAATTATACATCATTTAGTTCAGAATTTTACGAGCAATTCAACCATGTAATGGACGAAAAGATTGAGGCAAAATTACAGGAAATCGATATTTTACGAAAGAGCTTCCTCTTAAGAATTTTGACCTGAAGATAGGGGTGGAATAGCAGCGGTTCGCATATTATACCTATTCTACCCTGCTAAGAAAGAACGCCGTATGAGCCTTTAGCCGATGCCAAACTTCCGTTGACTAAATAAAAATTTTCAGGGAAATCAGTGAATACTTTCCCTCCAATTTTTCAGAGAATTTTATTCGCTGACAGCTCTAAATCATCTGAAAATTTCAAGAGAAAATATTCACAATTCTGCTTGAAAATAAGACATTTAATTGGAGGAAATTTGGCAAATCGCGAATGTTCGTACGGCATTTTTACCCAGTTTCGTCGATGTGCGTGCTCGATCTCGCAGCGTTGACATTTACATGGCCCACACCTTTATTCGCCCGATTTTTCAGGGATCATCCTTCGTGGGCCCTACTATACTTCCTTAAAATTATTCGAAACTTTAGATCAAATTGCTCATAAAATTCTCTGAAAAATCAGTAGAAAAATAAAGGTGAATTTTCACGATAATCTGCGGGTCATAAAAAGAAATTTGACAACGTCTGATGGTTAAATGGTTCATACGGCATTCGTCTGTAGCACGGCAAAATGGGCTATAACATAAGGTACGAATTTTAGCATTCCGAGAGGGGTGCATTTTTCTTTTCAAAATTTCACGTATGCCACAATTCGTGCGACAAAAATTCTGACAGGGCAAGAAAAGCCAGGGTAGAGGACGAAAGTAAAAGGGGAGAACGCATGATCACAATGCCAAAGTGAAAGGAAGGAGTGACCGGCTGTCGCAGTCCAGCGTGTGCGGAACTGCGGACTAGCAGCAGAGGAATGAATCCGGGGGTAAAGTCCAGTGCCTTTGCGGGCAAAAACGCAGCCGATCCAGATCAATTCGATCGGAAGCCCCATGTGCGTCTTTCGAGGAGGGCAATCGAGATCGGGTTTTAATCCCCTCCTGTCTTACGAGGGGATGCCAATACGGCCAGAAATTATATCCCATCTCGGGAACTGAATAGTTTGCCCGCGCTACTGCCTCTCGTTCTTCGAACGAGAACAATAATCGCCCCATTCGCCTCTGAGTTCGGGATTCGGTATCCCAAATTCTTTTACCTGCTCTGGCCTCTTGATCGAGTATCGCGATCGAAAGGCGACGCTTGGTCGTTCGCGAACTCTGAGGGCGATCAAATTAATTTCAATTCCCTCTCGACCCCTGCTAGAAAGCATTGTTTACATTTTGCCTTTAGTCCGGAGCTCGGACGACCTTCAACGCTGTTGGTTTGTTTGGCATAGAGTCCCTTTATACCCAGAGTTAAGACAACTCACTTTTGGTTGGGCTGAAAGTGGCCTAAAAAAAAATCCAATTCTGATTGGTTTTCGCTCATGGAGGCCGAAACGAGTGCACCAAGATGGCGGTACCTCGAATGTGAACAAGAATAATGAAAATATTACCTAATTGTGGTTTATCAAGAGTAAATTGTTATTTCCATCGGTCCAAAATGAAAATAGATTAAGAAATTATTCACAAACCAATCTCATTTTCTTTTTAATTAATCAATTTGTTGATGTTGTTGTTTTTGTTTGACAGACATCGCAGGATTCCTGATCCTTATCCCTCAATATCGTTCGTTTGGGTGCACTCGTTTCGGCCTCTATGGCCAGCCAAGGCCGGCTGCCAGTCAGCTGATAATCGAGTTGTCTTAACTCTGGGTATAAAGGGACTCTAGTTTGGCAAAACGCGCTCCTTCATACCCCCATTTTCTACCTGAACGCATTCATGTGGCAACGTTGCAGAGCCGCTGGAAAGTACAAAACGCGATACATTGGAGTAAACAGGAGTGAACCTTCTGTTGGTGAAGCCTATATATTCTGTGGCTGTTTAGTTCGTCTCAAGCTTTCCAGTGAAATGCTTGGATCATTTTTCAAAGGAGGCCGCCGAAAAGTTATGTGCAATCCTAACCTCACGCAGCTCTGCTTTGGACTAGAGAGAACCTGATTCATTGCATTCCATTGCAGGATGCCGACAGTTTTCACCTGACACTCGACAATCTCCAGAAGTCATTGGGACTGTTTCTACATATTTAAAGAACTGAAGACCATACCAATGAGGCATAAGCTTAGGTACAAGTGGAGTACCTATATAGCGAGAATATGGACAGGGACAGATGTGAAACTCCAAAATTCCGTTAAGCCTTCAACGATGCTTCCGCAAATAAAGTTAGGGCCCAGAAATGCAGCCAACCTATGCATTTCAATTATCCAGAGCGATTTACTAGTACAATTGTTACGAACCATCGTTTAAAAAGCACATAATAAACTTAATTTGTGCATAAATTTACTCATTTTGGCGGAAGAACGCTCATTACTGTACATTCTTGGCCATCTTGGTTAGAATTGGAATTTGCAGACTTGCAGTGAAATTTTGTGTGTTAGAAGTTGGTTAGAAGGATAGCTGCACTTTTGGGCCAAAAGGCCTCCATGAAGCGATCTGTCCATACTCTCGCCATACAGGTACTCGAGGTACAGGGACAGGGTAGCTCCTGTGTTCGTATGGAAAATTGCAACAGCGCTCCTACATAATTTCCTCAATTTTCTGCACATGAGTGATTAATTGAATTACTGAAGTTAAAAAGTAATACTTCCATACCTCCTGGATGATTTTCTGAATCCTTGGACTCCTAAGGACATCTTGGTGGATCCGATTGTGGTCAGTTTTGTTTGGGGCAGTGACATTTGAATGGCTTGGACTAAAGTCCCGCGACACCCAAGTGAAATCACTACTTGATCTGCGGCAGGATAAAATGTCTGTGTAGTTAGTGAAAGCACTCATGCTGCTGAACTAGGACTGGTCCCACTATTATTACTTAATAAAACATGGTTGAGTGAGTCATTGTGGATAGAGTACCTATTGTTGATTGTGGTCATTAAAAAACTGCCGAATGTTTAGTGCTTTAGTGATGTTTAGTGAATGTTTGGAATGTTTAGAATGTTTAGTGATTTACACGGGTCCTGCCATAGAATAATAACTAGCTGACGCTAGAGTCATAGAATAATAATTAATAAAGCTAACGCCAATAGAAGGGACACTCGCGTAAGCGGCCGTTGTGACTCTCGCCTGCTGTCTGCTGTGTCCAGGGTGTCCAGGTTTGGTTAGGTCTCGTTGCCCATGCCAATACCACCTACCATAGAGTACAATAGAGTCGCAAAGTACTGGATCGCCGATGAAGTCACTTTTCGAGGCTGTTTTGTCCAGTTCTCCGGAGACTAGTGTGCGGCGACTAGCGATGACGCATACGCAGAGACTCGCGCTCAGCGCTCCCTAGAGTACCTGTATAGCGAGAGTATGGACAGATCGCTTCATGGAGGGCTTAGGGCCCAAAAGTGCAGCCACCCTTCTAACCAACCTCTAACGCACAAAATTTCACTGCCAGTCGTACATAAATGAGCGTTCTTCCGCAAAATTGAGTAAATTTATGCAAAAACTGAGTCAAACACGTGCTTAATAAACGACGGTTCGTAACAATAGTATTAGTAAATCGTTCTGAATAGAGTCCCTTTATACTACTGAGAGTCAAGACAATTCGGCTCATGGATGTCACAAACGGGAATAAAGATTACAGAAATTGAACGTTTTTCGTAATCTTTGATCGGCCCATTCTCAAATGCCTTTCTCCGTTCCTCCTCTCATTCCGTTTGTTCCTTGCCGAACCCGTAATTCCCTGGTCCATTCCAGATTATAATCTTTGCAATTGGTGAAAATGTAATCTTTATTCCCGTTTGTGACACTGTGGAGGCCTAAAATACGGGAACCAATCAGAAATGGATTCAAATTGTCTTGACTCTCAGTATAAAGGGACGTTCTGAATAATTGAAATTCATAGTAGAGTCCCTTTATACCCAGAGTAACGACAACTCGATTATCAGCTGACTGGCAGCCGACCTTGGCTGGCCATGGAGGCCGAAACTAGTGCACTCAAACGAACGATATTGGGGGATAAGGATCAGGAATCCTGCGATGTCTGTCACACA